AATTTATTGTTATTCAATAAATTCTGACACTGTGGAAAGACACAAACATGTTTTGGTATATGTTAATGACATAGCTCGCTCATGACAATTCACAGCCCTTTTAGTTTTTATTTTGAGACTGGGTCTCGCTAAGTTTCCCAGACTGACCTAAGTAGAATTGAATTATTCATGAAAATTTATTTCTTCATGATATTTAATTATATCATTCTTGAAATTCTGCTATAATTTGAATGTTTATATTCTTCCAATATTCATATGTAGAAATTTCAACCCTCAAGACAATGATATTAAAAGGTAGGGCCTTTCAGAGGTGATTAGATGATAGGGTAGAGACCCCAAGAATATGATTAGTGACTTATAAAAGAGGCTCTAGGCAGCTTGTTTGCCCCTTCTGACATGTTAACATATAGCTGGAAGATTTTTTCTATGAGAAAGTGGGCCTTTATCAGACAAAATATGGTAGTATCTTCATTTTGAACTTCCCAATCTCCAAGACTGATAGAAATAAGTGTCTATTGTTTATAAGTTATGTAGTCAATGGTATGTTGTTTTAGCAGTCTGAAAAAAGTAAGATACACTCACATACAAATGTATTTCTTATGGTAGCATTCCTTCTTGAAATGGCTCATGAGACATTCAATGGATCTATCTTTAAAATGAAGGTTAGCCAGGGGTGGTAGTGCATGCCTGCAATCCCAGTGGCCCAGGAAGCTGAGGCAGGAGGATCACAGACAGGATCAAAGCTAGCCTCAGTAAGTTATTTATTTATTTATTTATTTTTGGTGAAAACATGGGTAAATCTAGAATAGTTTATTTACTTTAAAGTTGGGAGTTAAAGTCCGGCACCTCAGTAATTTAGCAAAGCCCCAAGCAATTTAGCAATCCCGTCTCAAAAATTTAAAAAAAGGGCTGGGAATATGGCTCAGTGGTTAAGTGTTCCTGAGTTCATGCCCTAGTATCAAATAAATTTAAAACATAATAAAACAAAATAAAATAAAACAAAAGTTAAATGAGACAATAGAGAAAACACTTTCATAGGGTTTAGTAGTTAATAAAGACTCAGTACAGCATCATGGTTCATACCCATTTATTATGGTTGATGTGAGGTATCCTCTAAAATCTCATGTGTGAAACAATGCAAGAAGAAAGTGGGAGTAAAATTGAGGCTAAGAAAGTTGCAGTTGTTAAAAAAGACATTCACAACACTAAAGAAATGCTAAAGACTTTGCTCAGAGACAACAAGAATAATGGCTCCAAGGCATCTCAGGAATTGGCGAGATCACACCCATCTCAGGCTCAAGGAAGTAAAAGTAAAACTTCTTTGGGAAGAGACCAGTGGGGAGCCCTGCTTGCCTAGAAGAGAGCCTCAGAAGTTTTTTAAACAATCTCAGCCACCTAGGCACTCAAAGGCTTCTACAGCCAGGGTTCTGGAGGATTGGCTGCAGCTGGAATTAGTGACAGACTTTGGCGTGAACCACGTGAACCAAGTGGTGCTGGTTCTGCAGGAATGCAGGGTGCTTGAGTTAGGAGGTAAAAAGGAAGAACTGGGAGGCCAGGTAAAGTGCAGCAAGGTCTGAGTCCCTGCTGGCTTCCCCTGAGCACGCAATGTGTGAAGATGTGAGGTGGAAGCCAAAGTTGTAGTAGAAACTCCCAAGATTAAGAAATGCAGTACCATGGAATGTCTCTGGAGGAAAGCTGTAGGAATTGAGCACAGACAAGCCAAGAGAGAGGTCATGTGGACTGCAACCAGCAAACCCAGGAGGTACATAGTACATAAGCCCTTTACAGAGAACCTGGAACTACAGGAATTATTTGCCCAGCTGGATTTTGGTCTTGCTTTGGTCCCATCCCTTCTTTCTATGCCCCTATTTTTCTTAATAGAAATATTTGCTCTGTACCTTTATAATATTAGGTACTTGTGAATTGCTTTTGATTTTTACAGGAGCTCACAATGTGAGTTTGCCTTGAGTCTCAGAGGAGATTTTGGACTTGAACTTTTGAACACTCTTAGATTGCTGAGACTATGGAGACTCTTGGAAATGGACTGTGTGTTTTGCATTGTGAGAAAGGTCATGAACCTTGGGGACCAGGGGCAGAATATCATGGTTTGATGTGAAGTATCCCACAAAAGCTTATGTATAAGACAATGTAAGAAGATTTAGAGGTGAATGGTTGAGTTGAGAACCTTAACCCAATCTGTGAATTTATCCCCTGATTGGGATTAACAGAGTGGTAACTAAAGGCAGGTAGAGTGTGCCTGGAGGAAATGGGTCATTGAGGAGCTTAGTCTCTCTCTGTGCTTCATGATGGCCCTATCAGAAGCCACTTTGCTCTGCCAAGTTGTCCTGCCTCGCCTCAAGTCCCGAAGAATGGAGTTAGTTGTCTATGGGTTAAGGCCACCAAAACTGTGAGCTCCTGAATAAACTTTCCTCCTCTAAAATTGTTCCTGTTAGGTCTTTTAGTCACAGCCACGAAAAAGTGGACCAAAACACCCTAATCCCAGCTACTTTGGAGACTGAGGTGGGAGAATCACTGAGCCCAGCCTGGAAAACATAGTGAGACTTAGTATCAAAACAAAACAACAAACAAAAACACCAAAACCCCAAACCCCAGTCTAGCAACTGTGAGGCACTAAGCAACTCAGTGAGACCCTGTCTCTAAGTAAAATACAAAATAGGGCTAGGCATATGACTCAGTGGTTGATTGCCCCTGAGTTCAATACCTGGTATCCCCCCCACCCCTCAAAAAAATAATATGGAAGACTCAGTAAATATTAACTAGTTACTTTAACATGTAATTGTCTCTGTGTGTTTCTTTCATCTCTAGTTTACTTAATTCTCCCCACACATGTGTTTGTGGGTGAGTACATAAATGTATGTCCTTCTCTCATATATTAACCTATAGCCTCAATTTAATAGGCCAGTACTCTAATTAAGATTTCAGAGTTAGAATCGCATGCATTTATTTACCCAAAAATGCACTTTAATGGAGTTCTCATGTTTGCATTCTACAAATATTTATTGAGCAGCTATTGCCTTTTTTAGTACTGAAAAGAATAAAACAACATTTGTATAAGGATCACATATTTGTTATTTTCCTAAAGACTTTCAAAATTGTTTACCATTTTTTTCTTATAAATACTTTGTAGAAATTGTACCATTTGAGACTCAGATTACATGTATCCCAATTTTGGTCAGAAAGCAGAATGGCAGTTTTAGGAGAGGTTACTGTCCACCAGAAGATAAACCTAAGTTTGTCAAGACAGATATCAGTCTGGATATCCAGTATACAAGCAGCCATAAGAACAGTCTGAGAGGACCAGAAAGCAAATGTCTTGAGAATATAGAGGAGGCACTGTTCACTTATGGGGCTGAATGATACCTTCAAAAAAAGTTTTGTGCGAGGTATACATATTTATTATAGAAAACTGATTAAAATTAAATATCAGGAAGCGGATTGGGCTCCTTTACAAGGAAAAGTGAGATATCTACTTCATAGCCTTTTAGCCAAGTGCCACAAAAAAATAAACAGGAGGATAATTTACAATACAGAATTTTTTGATTATCTCACAAGAGTTTTGCTGACTTCATATCAATCCTAGAAAATACCTCCCAAACCAGACGCTATGGTGCAGGCTGGTAATCCCAGCTCCTTGGGGGGCTGAGACTGGAGGATCACAAGATGGAGGCCACACTTAGCAATTTAGTGAGACTCAACAACTTAGCAAGACTCTACCTCTAAATAAAAAATAAAAAAGATCGGGGATGTAGCTCAGTGGTAAAGCACCTTGTACCCTTGAGTTTGTTCAATCCCCAGGAACCACCCCAGGCAAAAAAAAAATAGGAGACATGAGGGTCTAGGTAGAAGTCAATGAGAAATTTTGTACATATGCAAAATAATGATGTGGTATACTTAAAAGAGAGCACAGAGAAAAGTTACTTTGACTACATCACGTGATTAGACTTGAGTGAGAGACAAGAGTAAAAGATTAGGTGGAAATAATTAGGTGGAAAGTCTGTTTATGGTTTAATAATTTATTTGGAAGAAAAGAGCTATCTATATATTGAACAGAAAAGTAGCATGATTGCAATATTTCAAAAAGATTGATCTGATGGTCTTAGGCATGATAGTATGAGGCAAACAGGAAGCAGAACAACCAGTTAGGCAATCAACTTGAGTGGTAACAATGGAAATAGAAAGGGCAAATAAAGATCTAGCAATTGATTCTATTTCAGAGAAAACAAAGATGGCTTAACAAGAGTACCAGATAACTCTGGTTTGGAGAGACTTTAAAACCTGTCAATATTAAGGTGATTTCCATATCTAGATTTTGATTGTTAATTGAAGGGTACCATAGTCTCAGGACAGTCAGAGACCTGTCTATAGGTATTTACTATTTTCATTCTCTATTAATAAAAACAATAACAAAAACAAAAACCCCTAAGTACTGTTGATATTTCTTTCAACAGCTCTAGCCAGGTTTTTTAGTTCAAGTACTCTAGAAACTGAAGCTGGTGTGGCTGGCTTATGGTCTCTGGGTCAAACACACAAGACTTAGTCTTCTAACCTGTTCTGTGGACATGATAAGGTGCCTTCCTTAAAGGTATGGAAAGGAATGCTCTCCCTTTCTTTCTTCCTTCCTTTTTTATTTTGCCTTGGGACTTGGAGATTGAACCCAAGGGCACTCTACCACTGAGCTACATCACCAGCCTCTGTTTTTCTTTCAATTTTTTATTTCGAGACAAAGTCTGGCTAAGTTGCTGAGGCTGAGCTTGCAATCCTGCCTCAGCCTCCAGAGTCATTGGTATTACAGGAATGTGCCACTGTTCCAGCCATACCCTTCTGTCTTCTACCAATTTTTTTAGAAACAAATCTGTTATCATATAATTTTATCTGCAAATATTTCAGTGTGTATCTTGAAATTATAAGAACTTTCAAAAAACTAATGTTACTATTAAAAATAGCTAAATATAATTCCTCAAAACCATCAGGTATTTACTCAGTATTTAATATATATGTATTTATTAATGTGCTCGTATATTCCAATCAGTATCCAAACAATGCCCTAGTTTCCTGATGTAACAGTACAGAAACAGGGTGCCTTAAAACAACAAGAATGTATTGTCTGATATTTCTATAGGCCAGAAGTTTGAAATCAAGTTGTCCACAGTGTTATGTTCCCTCAGAATCTACTAAGGAAGAGAATCATTACTTGCCTCTTTCAGTTTCCGGTTTTTGCTTACAACCTTTGGTGTTTCTTTGATGTATCACTCCAATATCTAATGCTGTTGTCACATGGCAGTCTTCTCCCTCTGTGCCTGTCTCTTCTCCTGTAAGGATTCCAGTCTTTTTAGATTAAGAGTCCACCCTATTTCGTATGACTTCATCTGAAGTAAGTATATCTGAAAAAACCCTATTTCAAAATAAGGTTTAATTTTGAGGTAGTGCAGGTTAGTACTTCAACATATTATTTTGGGAGAACAAGGCAACACATGACATCCATGCACTACAACTGGTGTATAACTTTTATCTTCTAGTAAATTAATTTTAATTTATAGGTTATCCTTACATTCTTTTCAATACTGGGGATTGAACTCGTGGGTGCTTTACCACTGAGCTACCTTCTTCCTAGCTCTTTTTATCCATTGAGCCACATCCCCAGCCTTGTTCTGTATTTTATTTAGAGATAGGGTCTCACTGAGTTGCTCAGTGCCTCACAGTTGCTGAGGCTAGCTTTGAACTTGAGATCCTCCTGTCTCAGCCTCCCAAAATACTGGGATTATGGGCATGCACACTGTACCTGGCCTTCCTAGCCCTTTTTGAGACAGGGTCTCACTGTGTTGCCCAGGCTGACCTCAAATATGCAATTCTTCTACCTCAGCCTCCTAAATAGCTGTGACTACAGTGTGTGCCACAGCACCCATCTTCTTCCATCTTTTTATATGGCATTTTATTTTTGAAGACACTTGTTTATTTGTCCCATAGAGTTTTATGTTGTCTGGATTTTGCTAATGGTGTTTCTGTGGAATTGCTTAACATATACACTGGTACTTGTCATTAGGTGGTGAAATAATTATTGCTTATGGGGGGTCTTTCTGATGCATTATAAGATGTATAACAGCATCCCTGGTTCCTACCATCCATATGCCAGTAGCACTCCCCTGTTGTGGCAACCACAAATTTCTCCAAACATTGTAAAATATCCCCTGGGGGTAGGATAACCTACATCTCTTCTCACACTCACACTATCCTACAACTTCTAGACTCACTAACCTAAAGTCTTTGTTCTGAACAACCCGGTCCCAGTATATGAGAACTGGCCCCAAGGTGTAATGAGACCAAAGAAAAGAGGCAGATAGATTCAAAATTGTAGAGTGTTATTAGGAACTCACTGACAGAATCATGGTTGTGGGCAATAGCAAGACCAGATTCTCATGATTTGAATCAGTATACTTGGGGCTTATGAAGTGTTCAGGACAAAAGTGAATTCATTCAAGCCAGAATATATGTTTGTCTCAAGCTAGTATCAGGTACATTCCTGGGGCTAGGGTATGGTCACAAAAGCTCTACATTCTACTTCAATGGTTTTGTCTATTTATAGTGTGCTGGGAAACTAAACAGAGGAAACCAACTAGGGTTACTCAGTGGTTGAAAGCACAGTTGTTACGACTCACGATGGCTGCAATCATGTCAAGATGAATCCACAGACTTTATGACATCCAGGTTTAATTTTTTGGAAAGATTTGTAGATAGTATACGTACTTCTATCAGGAGGAACATAGCATCTGACTGACTTTGTTCTGTTAATTAGCAGCTGGCACAGTGAATATGTCTTTAATCCCAAGGACTCAGGAGTTTAAGGCAGGTGAATCCCCAGGTAGTAGACCAGTCTCAGCATCTTAGTGAGAGACCCTGTCCCAAAATAAAAAATAAAAAGGAGTAGGGATGAAACTCAGTATTAGAGTGCCTCAGTAAATTCCCAGTACCTCCTCCAAAACGCATTAATCAGTTTATTTCATTAATGTTTGTAAATAGTGATGTCCTAGTTGTTAATGCATTGCTCTGACCGTGTATTAGCTGTAATGCTTCAATAGACACTTCTCTTCATCAAGGACTTACTCGATAGCCCTGAAATATGGTTCTACTCTTAGAACCATATTTAATCTGTTTAATTAATCTCTTTATTAATCTGTTTCATAGAATTCACGATTTTAAATTTGCTTACTTATACCTTGTCTCTAACTAGATTGTAAACTAAGTTTCCTTAAGGGCAAGGAACAGATTATTAAAACAAAACGATGTATATATATTCTCACCGCACCTGCGTGAGATAAATATTTGGGACTAAATAAAAACTAAATAGTTAACTGAATGAGAGCATCATACGACACTGTTTTTGATTCAGTCTCTTCTCACCTAATCTTTCAAAGCCTACCAGGGCCTCCACTAAGAGTTTCGGATGGGAAATCTGCACCACTACGGGGTACGCAGCACAACACCCGGCCGCTATAAAACCTGCGTCTAAAATTACTAGAAATAAGACTGGTTCGGGGACATCCGGGCTGCGGTGGGCGGGGCGACGTGCTGACGCTACGCCACGCTCCCTTACCGTCCTGCCTCTTCGCCCATGTCCGCACTGTGACGTTTCCAAAGAGGAACGGAGCGTAAACAGCGCAGGGCATTTCGGGAGCGGGATTGTTTCACGCAGGAAGCAGGCTCCATTTTAGCGCCGCCCGCCGTCGCCATCTGTTTCTCTTCCCTCCCTCTTACCCCGCCCGTATCTGAGCCTCAACGGGAAAGCTGGGCCCAGGCCGTCGGAGGCTGGAAAAAAGGGAAGGGGATAAGGGAGAACGGAAAGAAGAGGGAAGAAAGGGTGAGTAGAGGAGGGTGAGTGGTAGCGGCCAAGTGCGAAGCACGCAGCTCGTTGGACGGACTGACGGACGGGCGCGTGCGACTGCTGCCGCGGCTGCGGCGCCCGCGTGAGTCGCGTCCCGGCGGCGGTGGCGGTGGCGGTAGCGGCGGCGGCAGCAGCGGAAGCCGGAGGGGAGCAATGGCGGCCGACAGCCGGGAGGAGAAAGGTTAGTGCGGGAAAGGTGACGGGCGGAGGCGGGGTCTGGAGAGCGGTGGTCGTGGCTGCCTGGCGGGGGTGGGGAGTTTAGCCTGTCTGGCGCAGAGCTGGTCACCCCCGCTCCCCCCATCGAGACACTTGGACTCATTGGCGGAGAACCAGGCCTGTCCTTTCGTCCTCCGCCTCCATATGGCCTAACACTTATTTTCGCACAGGATTTTTTCTTTGATCCAAATTCCACTCCTGACTTTCCTTTTAGCTGTGTTGGGAGTGGCTGAGCAAGGGCTTGTTCAGAGTTGCAGGCCCCTGGGCTTATTTCCTGGTAGGGTTATGCGGATGTAATGCGTATTTTCCGAACAACCTTTTTGTTAGGCCAAATTTCAAAAACCCTTAATGCCACAATCAACGCTGGTAGTCTAGTTAAGTGAATGTGTTTAAGTGGTACAGGTGTATTATTCTCGAGAAATAGCTACAAATAACTTTAGACTGTTACTGTTAAATAGGAGAAGTGGCAAGGATAATCCCGTTTTGTTCCTAGAGTTATTATTTTTGAAAGCATGATGCTTGAAAATAAAACTATGCGACTCGTAACCCTTTCCAAAAAAAAAAAAAAAAAAAGGCACCCTGGCAACCATTCTGCTAGAAACGTGCGTACCTCCCACAGGGAGGGTACAACCGGGAACAAATTATTTGTAAGTTATGGAGGGTTGGAGGGAAGAACCAGTGAATGTCGTCTTCAGAGTGGTCTAGATTGGATACTGCCTGAAGATCATTTTCAACCCATAGATTATCATGATAGCCTTGCAATAGTTCTAGTTGATGAAAACATTGTAGAGTATCTGCACTGTATCTCTCAGGTCTCTTCTATATGGCTAGCTCATTTGGGCTGGGTATTTTTTAAGTGGATTCTAGAATCAATTTGCATTAAGCCTATGATCCTCCTAAGATTTTCTGGTTACTGGCTCAGGAGAGTCTTTGTTTTCAGTGAATTGTTCTTGGATAAGAAGAGTAAGCTTGGGGAATGGATTATGTTTAAGATAATGCCCTTGTCCTAAATAATTTCATTGATTAGATTATAGCAGTTTGATTCCCCCCAACACCTTGAAACTCCCCAAAGTTCCCACTTTCTTGAGAAATTCAGAATAATGTAAACATGGGGGGGGAGGGTATGGGGTGAGTAAAGGAAACCTCTTTTTAATAGTAAAGTGAGAAGATCTTAAGCAACAAGAATTCATTCAACATTGGATGGCCAGGGTGTAATTTATGAACTATATGTATGGAAGGTTTGGTGGTTGTGGTAGACCAGATTAACCAAACACAAAAATGAGTAAATGAAGATGCTTAAAGTCATAGTGCAGACAAATAATGCACATTGAAGAAGAAAAATGATACTGGCTTAAAGGATTTATTTTACAAATAGATTTAGTGATGATGGTGCAGTCTAAATACATGAAGTTTATTACTGAGAGATAGTAATGAAACCTATCAGTGCTACCTATGACGACTTTCCACCTTTTGGAAAGGGTTTTGCCTTGTGTTATCAAGTTTTTTTTTTTTTTTTAAACTTAATTTCCATAACTGAGTTCTTTAAAATTCTGATATAAGTGCTTATATTTTTTAGTTTATAACAAATATTATTTCTGGGCAACACAGAAAATAGCACATACCTACTGGAAGTGACATTTATTTAATTTCTGAAGAGTTCTGATCTACAACATGCATCACTTGATCATTGTCACACCCATGATTATAGATAAAGGATCAGTATTTGACTCATCTGTCTCTTAAACAATGAAAAGTGGGAACATAAGTATTTTAGTGTCATGAGTTATACAAAACATGAGAAAATTTGTAAAAGATTAACTCCCCAAGAATCGTAGTAACACTGCAAACCTTAAGTCCCTTCTTAAATGATTCCTCAAATGGTTTAAAATTTGATTAAAAAAATGAGTGTAAGTTGCAGAAATTTGCAGTAATATTTTATTTACAGAACAGTTAGAAAGACTGTCATGGAGTTCTTGAATTATTGAGCTTTGTGTATGAGCTATGTAATAAACACATTAATTTCTATAGTGCTTCTATGATACTCATACCTAGAAGTTGAATCCTATGTAACCGGACAAATTGTCAGCTCCCTGTGATTTCTGTGGTGATTATTTGTTAAAAAAGTGGATTTGAAAGATGTTGCCATGTTGGTGTTAACAGTAAATACATTTTTCTTTAATGAGGAAATACACATCTTTTCTGTCACCATAAACATCTGTATAAATTTTATTGCATATACTTTTAGAGTTCTCTATAGAGAACATTTTTAAAAAATTAATCCAAAATGTATATGTCCTTCCACTTTCTAAAGTAACTTGCATTCCACATTACTAGAGTGGAAGCTTCAAGAGGGCAGGAAATGTGTTTCTCATGTTTACCCTGAATCTTTGATGCAGTAATTGTGCCTTGAAGCTGAGGCAGGAGGATTTCAAGTTCAAGGCCAGCCTGGGCAACTTAGAGGCAGACTCAATCTCAAACTAAAACTTAAAAAAAAATGGGGAGGGCTAAGGATGTGGGTGAGTGTTAGAGCACCCATGGGTTCAATCCTCAGTATCACAAAGGAAAAAGAAATGACTAGTTATATGATGTGTGAAATATAAAGCCCAAAGTTGAGGTTTGTTACAGACAAAAACAGAAAAGCACATGAAAGTATGTTGTTATACACACATATATACATACCTGGCCCTCACTGTTTAAATCCTTAAAATACAATTGTCTATCCAGTAACTTCAGTTGACCCTTTTTGGAAGTTAGAAATTTGAATTGGGATGGAGATCCAAGTTTGGACTTCATTCTCAGCCGCGCCTGTAATCCCAGCCGCTTGGGAGGCTGAGACAGGAGGATCTTGAATTCAAAGCTAGCCTTAGCACCTATGAGGTGCTAAGCAACTCAGTGAGACCCTCTCTAAATAAAATACAAAATAGGGCTGGGGATGTGGCTCAATGGTCAAGTACCCCCGAGTTCAATCCCTAGTACCCAAAAAAACATAGCTGAGAAACCAATGTAAAATGTACTTTGCAAGATAATACAAGGGAATGTTCCAGGAAATCTTGCCCCATTGCCAGACCCTGCAACTAAGTAAGTGAATTGAAATAAACAAACAAACAAAAAAATGTACTTTGGTTTGTGTAATATTTAACCTCTTTTATTTCTTTGAGTATTAAATCTTGGTCTATCTAATGCTAGACCTTGAAATAATCTCCCTCCCCACCCCCTCCCCAGTATCTTGTGAGACCCACAAGCTTCAGTGATTAGGAAAATGACTTTGTTCCAGATAAAGATAAAGGTTAATTTTCTACACTTGAAGTTAAGATTTGTGACTTTCTTGGGCCAGGAATTTCAAAATTAAACTAAATTTCTGCTATAATGGAGAATGAATTAAATATGAATTCAGAGTTACAAGATTTTGTCGCCTTAGAGGCTACACTACTTTGAAAAGCAGTTCACATGTTTACCTAAAACAAAAATCCCACAATTAAGCAACAGAAACGCCTTTTAGCATCTTTTTAGTCTTAATAAACTCTAAAAATAATGGGTTTTGTTCTTTTTATTTCCTTGTTTTACCTCCTATACTTGGAAATCAGTATCTTCATCTCAAACTGTTTGCCAATAGTTGGTGAAATTAACCAAGATTCTGCTAGCTTGTTATCAGTAAACATAATGCAGTGCATAAGCATAAATACTGTGAAAGTAAAGATTAAAGCTAGCAGTCTACTTTTTTAAAAAATTGAAACAACATTTTAATTTAGTTACTTTATTTATTGCGCTACTGGGGATTGACCCAAAAGGAACTTTACCTCTGAGCTACAACCCCAAGTCTTATTTTCAAGGCAGGGCTTAGACTGGTCTGAAACTTTAGGTGCTCTGTTTCAGCTTCCTAAGTTGCTGGGACTATGAGGTGGCCTATACCACCTCACCTGGCTGAGGCAATATTTAAGTCAGGTAATTCCAAATAAAATCTGAACTGGGTGTTTCAATTGAAAAATTTGGAAATGTGACAATAGTGATTGCATTCTGTTAGTGCAGCAGATCCACTGGAATAGAATTTTGTCTGCTTTAGCCTTCCACTTCCTGGCCCTAAAATAACATTTCAGTCAACAGTGGACCACATATATGATGATGGTTCCATAATATTCTATCAGTGATGTTGTACCTTAGTCTATGAAGATGGACACTCCTGCCAACAATAAAGGATGTGTAAACCCCCTATCTTTGAACCTAATAGGCTTTTTTTTATAATTACCTCTGTGAATAAAATACTATTCTGAGTGTTGAGATCTGCCTGGTCTTTTCTGTGTTAGAACATAGACATTTAGATCCCTAAATCACCATGTAAGAAATACCCCTACCTAAAACTGCCATAATAGAGAGTTGTCATTGGAGAGAAATGTCTAAGATGCTCTACCTATTTTTAGTCATCCCAGCCTAGACCCTAGCCAGACATGTGAATGAGCAAGTCTTCTATCCCCAGTCATCTGACACAACCACATGAGAGAACCCTAGTTAATCCCCAAAACCACGAGTAATGAAAAATGATTGTTACTGTTTTTACCCACCAAGTTTTGGGGTGATATCTTATGCAGCCGTAGATAATTAGGGCATGCATGTACTTATTTTATCAAAGAAAGAGGATTT